GGCTTTTATTTGAACAAACTTGGTAGACACTCACCAGAAGATGTTTCATGTCAAAAATCTAAGGTCGAGCTCTTTGGGTTTTTTTAGAAGAAGATATTTTAAGTTTTTTCTTTTGGTTGCCATGGCAACCAGAGTTCTGCATGGAATTAAATTCTTTGAACAATTTTCAAAGGTGACCACCAAAGGAACATTCCTGTGAAGTTTGGATGAAATTGGCTTAGTGGTTTATGAGGAGATGTCATTTAAAGTAAAAGTTTACGGACGACAGACGGACGACGGACGGACGAAAAGCGATCACAAAAGCTCACCCTGTCACTTTGTGACAGGTGAGCTAAATAGACACCCTTTAAGGCTGGGTCAAGTTTGATCATTCAGTATAATCATTCATAGCCATACAATCTTGATAAGGTTACAATATTAAAACTATTACAATAAAATTGTGTCAAGCATGTAAACAATAGGTCTTCCAGGAATCAGCTTTTTCCAGTGAAGTCTATAAAATGAAGTAACCCCTAGAACTGGTTCAATTTTCACGATAGGGGTGATAATGTGAACAACTTTATAGAGGTTTTCTAGGTCGGGCTATATCTTTAATATCTATAGTCACAGCTTGAAGTTATTGATAGAAAGATTGCATTAATTTAATCTATATTACCTCCCTTTGTCTATCTTTTCACAAGATCGATATTTGGTTAAGTTTCTTGCTACCGATCGAGCTTAGCTGAAAGCATTTACTTCCTTCCTAGACATGCAGGAAAAAAACTGTTACAGTAGTAGTTATATACAAGTTGATTCTCTGCAATTTCATTAACCTGATTTCCTCTTAGTCTATCATCATTAAACATAGAGATTAAATACAATGTATATATAATTTTTATTATAAATTTATATGAAAATATTATTGCTTATTTACTGATTTTATTGTAATGCATATATATTAAGAGGATATTTTTTCGTTTGAGTGAAATATGGAATATATTTTCACAAAACATGATAAAATGCCACATATTTTCACGAGCCGGGACGGCAAGTGAAAATATGTGGCATTTTATCATGTTGAGTGAAAATATATAAAATATTTCACTCAAACATTATCAAAGAAAAATGGTTATGAACACCCTTGCTTGCTACGCAACTGCAATTGTACAGCGCGCAGTAATATAATTATTGTCTTGTTTTGCACCCGATATTTTGCACAACATTGTGACGTCACGTAAACAACTCTAAACAAGAGGGCCATGATGGCCCTGAGGTCGCTCACCTGTATATAGGCCCCCCCAACCAACCCCCCCCCAAAGTTGCAGGGCCAATTTAACCCAAGGGTTTTATTTGCACAAACTTGGTAGACACACCCATAAGAAGATGTTTCATGCTAAACATCTAAGCTCTAGCTCTAGCTCATTGACTTTTTAAAAGAAGATTTTTTTAAAGTTTTTACTATACACATATAGTTAAAAACAATGACACCCCTGGGGCCGGGCCAGTTTTGACCCCAAGGCTTTTATTTGAACAAACTTTGTAGACACTTACTAGAAGATGTTTCATGCTTAATATCTAAACTCTAGCTATTTGGGTTTTTTCAAAGAAGATTTTAAGTTTTTGCTATACACATATAAAGAAAATCAATGACCCCCCGGGCGGGGCCAATTTTGACCCCAGGTCTTTTATTTGAACAAACTTTGTAGACACTCACTAAAAGATGTTTCATGCTTAATATCTTAACTCTAGCTATTTGGGTTTTTTCAAAGAAGATTTTTTAAGTTTTTGCTATACACATATAAGGAAAATCAATGACCCCCGGGGCGGGGCCAATTTTGACCCCAGGGCTTTTATTTGAACAAACTTGGTAGACGCCTATTAGAACATGTTTGATGCTAAATATCTTAGCCATAGCTCTTTGAGTTCTTTAAAAGAAGATTTTTTAAGTTTTTACTAAATGCATATAGGGAAAATCAATGACCCCCCGGGGCAGGGTCAACTTTGACCCCAGGGCTTTTATTTGAACAAACTTGGTAGACACTTATTAGAACATGTTTAATGCTAAATATCTTAGCTCTAACTCTTTTGGTTCTTTAAAAGAAGATTTTTTAAGTTTTTACTATATGCATATAGGGAAAATCAATGACCCCCTGGGGCGGGGCAAATTTTGACCCCAGGGCTTTTATTTGAACAAACTTGGTAGACACCTATTAGAACATGTTTGATGCTCAATATCTTAGCCATAGCTCTTTGAGTTCTTTAAAAGAAGAGTTTTTAAGTTTTTACTATATGCATATAGGGAAAATCAATGACCCCCCGGGGCGGGGCCAATTTTGACCCCAGGGCTTTTATTTGAACAAACTTGGTAGACACCCATTAGAACATGTTTCATGCTAAATATCTTAGCTCTAGTTCTTTGGGTTCTTTAAAAGAAGATTTTTTAAGTTTTTACTATATGCATATAGGGAAAATCAATGACCCCCCAGGGCGTGGCTAATTTTGACCCCAGGGCTTTTATTTGAACAATTTTTAAAGGTGACCACCAAAGGAACATTCCTGTGAAGTTTGGATGAAATTGGCTTAGTGGTTTATGAGGAGATGTCATTTAAAGTAAAAGTTTACGGACGGACGGACGACGGACGGACGGACGCCGGACGAAAAGCGATCACAAAAGCTCACCCTGTCACTTTGTGACAGGTGAGCTAAAAACGTCTGTACAGCGTTAATGACTGAATTAAAGATATTGGTGTTCGGATTAATTTTCTTAGTTAGACCATTTTCTATCATTCTAGATGGTTTTCAAAACAAAATTCAATAAAAAGTTGTTTGTATTTATCAGATTTTTAAAACAAAAATGGCGAAAGAAGTCCCTTAAAATAAATATGAGTTTTGACTCCGCCCACTTTCATATTTATATTTCATATTTATTTTTAAAAAATATGAAATATATTTGACTGATATAGCACCATATTTCATGGGTAAAATTAAATAAATATACATATTTCTGACATACACGTAAAACAAGGGTGCCATAGTCACAAAATACGCCCGTTTATGAAAGATTTAGATGGAGATGGGGGCATTATGGATAAGTGTTATGTAGCAAGCAAGTTTTTATCCTTGGCACTGTGTTGTTAAATGAACCTTAAAACAAATCAGTAGGGAAGATATGCACAGGATGTGTGACCTTGACCTTGGTCGCAGGGACCTGAATTTTATGCACGGCACTCAGCCTCACAATGATGAACATTTGTGCCAAATTATATTGAAATCCCTCTATGCATGTAGAAGTTTGCTCCAGACAAGTGTTTTGCTATGAGCTCTAACTGTGACCTTCACCTTTGACCTAGAGACTTGGTTCATGTGCAGGGCACTACGTCTCATGGTGGTGAACAATTCTATAAAGTAACATTAAAATTCCTCCATGCATGTAGAAAATATGCTCCGGACAACATCTGGATATTTAATCATCTCCAGTGACCTTGACCTTGCAAATATTAACCTAAATTAAATGTGTCACACCTGTAGTCATGATAGTTACCATTTGTGCTACAATCCATCAATAAATGATGACTAAATGGTCCCTATACACATCTTCAAATTTTTATTTGAACTCTATGTGTAACCTTGACTTTGGTCGCAGGGATCTGAATTTTGCGTGCGACACTCAGCCTCACAATGGTGAACATTTGTGCCAAGTTATATTGAAATCCCCCTATGAATGTAGAAGTTTTGCTCCCGACAAGCGTTTTTCAATGAGCTCTAAGTGTGACCTTGACCTTTGACCTGGATCATGCATGGAGCAATACACATCATGGTGGTGAACATTTCCATAAAGTATTATAAAAATTCTTCCATACATGTAGGAGATATGCTCCAGACAAAATCTGGATATTTCACCATCTTTAGTGACCTTGACCTTGCATATATTGACCTAAAGTACTTGTGTCATAGCCTTAGTCATGATAATGACAATTTGTGTTACAATCCCTCAATAAATGATGATTAAATCGTCCCTATACACATCTTCATATTTTTATCTAAACTTTGACCTCTATGTGTGGCCTTGACCTTTGACCTAGAGACCTAGTTCATGTGCGTGACATGGCTTCTCATAATGGTGAACATTTCTATGAAATTTCATTAAAATCCCTCCATGCGTGTAGGAGATATGCTCCGGACAAAATCTCATTATTTCATCATCTTTAGTGACCTTGACCTTGTATATATTGACATTAATTATATGTATCACAGCCATAGTCTTGATAATGACCATTTGTGTTACAATCCCTCAATAAATGATGACTAAATGGTCCATATACACATCTTCATATTTTTATCTGAACTTTGACCTCTATGTGTGACCTTGACCTTGGCCGCAAGGACCTGAATCTTGCGCGCGACACTCCGCCTCACAATGGTGAACATTTGTGCCAAGTAATATTGAAATCCCTCTATACATGTGGAAGTTTTGCTCCGGACAAGCATTTTTCAATGAGCTCTAAGTGTGACCTTGACCTTTGACCTAGAGACCTGGTTCATGTGCGCGACACTGCTCCTCATAGTGGTGAACATTTCTATGAAGTTTCATTAAAATCCCTCCATACATGTAGGAGATATGCTCTGGACAAATTGGACGCCGTCCGCCCGCCCGCCAGGGGCGTTCCCATAATACGTCCCGTTTTTCAAACGGGCGTATAAAAACTGGACTTGCAGATAATTCACTTGAATTTGAATCAGACAATGATCAGCTTAATTCACTGCTAAATCATCACTTGACAACAAAGGCGACAACTCACTTCAAACACAAGTACATAAGGTCAGCTACAAATGTACAAACAAAAGGCTTGAAAACATAAAAGATCTAGCGATGCTCAGAAAACTTACCAATCAGACTGTGTCTGCAATTTTCATGTAATTTTGTTGTGATTAATGCTTCCGAGGGATCACCTGTATTCCAGATTCTTACCTTTTTCTACAAGAAAATAATGATATCATAGTATACAATAAGGACATCTTACCTTCCCTTTATTGCTATCATGATCACTCTCAATGGCTTCATCTTTCATAAATGGGGAGTCACTATCAAAGCTTGGCTCTGACAGCCCGTCCGATCCGCTCATTTCTCCACTGTTTAGTTCCTCTTCCCGTTTTATAATTCTTTTCTTCAGCGCAAACATATGTCCGAGGGATACAGATGACGTTGAAACATCGGGATCCTCGCTGAGTGAAAAAGCCGACTTGATCTGATGCAACTTGATCAAGTTCACCGAGTGTTTGTTTTTATTGCTGTTTATTTCATTTTGACTAGAATCTGTATTGCTAACATTCCTGAAAGCACTTGGGCCACTCAGACTAAAGTTTGTTGAAAATGATGACAGTGAAGACGCATCACTGGACGACTGTGAAATAGGTCTGAAGTATGAGCCTTCCATTTTCCGTTTCAATTTCAGTCTTGCAAACGGAGATAATGAATTAAAACTGTTAGTTGACTCATCCAAGGGAGAAAACCTTGACGGGGATTCTATGGAGGACATTGAAAACGAATCCGCATCACTCATACTGTTAGACGGGATGTCAATAAGAGATCTTTGTTCAGGGGACATCACTCTATCCTCCTTCATCTGCATGAACTGAAAATAGTAGAATTGATGATGTACATGAATATATTTATTTTTCTATTTAAAAGAAAATAATTATTCACTACTGAGACCATTAATACCTTCAACTTTGACTGTGCTTTGATATTACCTGCCTATAAACAAATCAAGGTGAGCTCTAGTAAAAGAATATTTCCTGTTTTTTATAAATTCATTATCACAATGTATCATTACATTTATATTGTGATAATTATAGCAAGTAAAACAGGCAGATTTCAGAGGTGAACAATTCTGAGAACAAAAAGGTTATTTTCAGACATTCAACGATTATTTAAGTTTTGTTAATTTCTTTATTACTTTTCCATTTTCATTTAAAGTATGAACAAGAGCTACCTAAAGAAGAGACTGTTTCGCTAAAGGTCTCAGTGCAAGATATTATGGAGTTGTAGCATGTCTTTGGAAAATTGCGTTCAAAAAGAGCATAACTATGTCAAGATCCTTGATAATTACATCAAACATGTAGTTTTTATAGTTGCTCTTCAAAAGAGAATGGGGATAAATGATCATAAATAAATAATTCCAGAGTTTAATCATACCACACAGGTGTTTGATTTTTTTCACTGAGAAATTCTTCAGACAAAACTGGGTGTCACAGACAGTTTTTGGGCATATTAAACAGGACAAAATTCTGTCAAAATGTACTTAACCCTATAAATGAAGGTAATTCATGTCATAAACATGTTTTAAATGCATTATATATCAAAGTAAGGTGGCACTAAACTTCACATCATTTTTTTTTTTAATGTTTTACACCAATTTGGACCTTGATGTTACAATTAAAGCATAAGAGGATAGCTCCTTCCATACCTTTAAATAACAACTAAAGAACAACTGTCTTAAGCATGACACAACTGTATGAGAACACAACTTAACAGATCAACATTCATCCTTTGTGTCAATATGTAAATAGACTTTAAACTTTAGAGCTTTTCATTGTTAAATTTATGACGCCAATATCTGGTTATATTGTTGGAAATTTTGAAGCCAGTTCAAGTTGTGGTAATGAAGTGCAGAATGCCTGCCTCATTTTTTTTTAAGTTGAATAGCCACTCAAAGCTGCATGCCTCTAGATTAGCCAAAATATTTCAAGAAAATCAAACTTGAGAAAGTGAACTTGATTTTAGGAAAAGTGAAAAAGGTTCAATTAATAATTTACATGTTATGTGTGTTTAATGACTGACTGCAGTAATTATCACCTTAGTTTTAATGTGACTATAGCAATCTGGGCTATTCTTTGCACATTTCAGCCTCTAGTATTTTCGGTGATTTACATGGATTGTAAACATTGTTTGCCATGTGTAAATTTCTTTCTTTGTTTATTTCACAACATTTTAACGTTTAAATTATATGTAACATTTTCAAAATTCTCATAAATATCAGCATATGAACCTGGAGGCTCCCTACATTAAGCATACATTGTCCGAGTTTAAACAATACACTACCATTTGATGACACATAACAGTTAACTTAAACTTCATGTTATTTTATGTATAACATACTTTAACAACAATCTCATCCATATATAATGTACAACAACAACAACAACAATGTTAAACAGTCTTTTTTCCTACTTCAATATTCTTTACATAGTTTAAACAAAGTACAATATCTTAAACTACAGTCGTAAATGGAACAGTGATGCTAAAATAAATCTTAAATAGTAATTAAATTTGATACTAACCTCGCTTCAAAACTTATCTTAAATCAAACTGAACTATAAATACAAAACTGAAAACAGTTTATTACAACACGGCAACCTAGTTTACTCTACACATATAAAACATACATTACATATGACCTAGCTTAATAGAAAAAACAACCTCACTGATCTGACATCAAGTACAAAGGTGTGGTGTAGGTGTGGCGTTACATACAATAAAACTTGTCTTGCTTGTATGCATATTTAGATTCCGAATACTGATGAGAAAACATAATTACATCTGTTAAAGGATGTTTAATTACTTTTTTGTTTTGTTCTTTTAATTAATGGACCATGTACTGTTTTAAATGCTAATTTTCATGAAAATTTTAAAGTGCTTTAATAGTGAAATTATTACACAATATAAATAAACTTGAACAAACAATCAACACAGGGTAAGCTTAAAGGTCTGTTTATTTAAATCTTAAAACCCATGTCAGTCTTCACCTGGGTTTGATAATATTGTTAAAGATGGAACAAATTTATAACATAAAATTTTTGTAATGACTAAAATGTGTCAAAATATAAAAAGAAAACATTTTTACTCAATTTACAACAGAGAAGAAATAATTGGGAGTAAAAAAATTCATTGGGAGTAAAAAAATCCATTAGTTACCTAACTAACAAGTGAAGCATTATACTTTTTGTAAATATTCATATTATAATTAATTTCCTGAGTTCTTAAGACTAAAAGGGGCTCCATGATTGTACACCCAGGTTTTTGACATACTGGTAATAGAAATGGAAATTTTTCTCTCACCATTTTTCATGTACTGATAGGTCTTGAACAAAAACTTTTATGCAAAATTTCAGATAATTCCTTTGAATAATTATGTTTATTGTGCAAAATTGCACAAAAGAAAATCAGAGTTTTTAATTCTTAATAAGGCAATTTTAGATTTAAAGTTCTCAAAGTGTTTTTTATCTTTGCAGATTTTCTCGTTTTCAATTCTCAGTAAGAATTTCAAATTTTATGTTTTTTTTTCTTCAAATTTTTGACTTTTGGACCTTTAACAAACTCCTTGGTGTGCACTGGTGCTTGACACATTATAAGCACTGGCACATTGCAAGCACTACTGACACATTAATAACAAGCATTGGTGCTTGAAAAAATACAAGCATTGGTGCTTGGCACATTCCAGCCACTGGTGCTTGGGCACATTACAAGCACTGGTGCTTGGGCACATTACAAGCACTAGTGCTTGGGCACATTACAAGCACTGGCGCTTGTCACATTACAAGCACTGGTGCTTGGCACATTACAAACACTGGTGCTTGGCACATTACAAGCACTGGTGCTTGGCACATTACAAGCACTGGTGCTTGGCACATTACAAGCACTGGTGCTTGGGCACATTACAAGCACTGGTGCTTGGCACATTACAAGCACTGGTGCTTGGGCACATTACAAGCACTGGTGCTTGGGCACATTACAAGCACTGGTGCTTGGGCACATTACAAACACTGGTGCTTGGCACATTACAAGCACTGGTGCTTTGCACATTACAAACACTGGTGCTTGGCACATTACAAGCACTGGTGCTTGGGCACATTACAAAGTCTGGCATATTATACAATACATGGCACAATGGGGTTTCAATTGGGTTGAGAGAATCAGGGAAGTACTAGTATTAATATACATATGAAATAATTCAAGACAAGAGACAACTTAATCTCTGCGTTGCTTATACTTAAATAAATAGTTAGTTTCCAGATATAACCAGGACTTATTGCGATCAAACCATAAAATAACATTATGACATCTGTTGATGCAATTCTTTCAATATTATCTTCAACAGGTATATATACATAGTTTGCAAGATTTTTCTTTAAAGCACGAGTTTGTGCCAGGAAGTACTCTTTGACAAAAATAAAACACATTTTCTTAAACACCAGGGTTAAAAAAATTATATTCAGTATTTATTTTGGAATGTTTAAAGCTGCACGCCTCCAGATGAGCCAAAATATTTCAAGAAAATCAAACTTGAGCAAAATGTATCCAGATTTTAAGAAAAGTAAAGAGATCCAAGATTTATTTCATGATTTGCATGTTTGGTGCCTGATGACTGATTTAATCTCTCTCTTTT